TCCTGAAAAAGTAGGAAAGCTCTGTTTGGAGGAGAGTAAATATCAAGTCGACTTCATAGTGAGGTTGAAGGGAATATAGCCTAGTATTTAGGGAACAGACTTTAGAGTCAGACAAACTAGGGATTCAAATCTTTGCTCTGCCTCTTACTAACATGCTAGAGGAAATTAATTTCTTAGAGCTACATTTTTCTTTTAAAAAGTGAATAATGATATCATTGCCTACATTGTAGTTTACTGCAAGGACTAAGTGAGGTTCTAGATGGGAAGCATAGAGCACAATATCTGGACTAAATAGGTGTTTAATTATTGAGAGCTACAATCATCATTAAGTGGAAGTATCACAGTGGTAGTTTCCCATTTTATCCAGTCATACTGTTGGAAGAATCAGATCAATATCAATGCATGACTCTAATGCTACAAAAGGAAGAAGATACATTAGTGTCTTTGGCTAGAGTTCAAAAGAATGAGCACTAGAGTGGGAGTCTAGAGACCTGGATAAACACTGCCACTAGACAGAAGATCTTGAGCAAACAAAATGTTTAACTTCCATGGACCTTAATGTTTTCATTTGTAGAGTGGGGAAGTTATACCAGATTACTCCTATGGTTCCTTACGGCTATGATGCATCATTCTAAGGCAGGAATCAAAAGCCCGGAGCATTGCTCTACCACCTTCCAGGAAGCCATGTACAGTGGAACACCAAACTCAGGACTAATGAGATTCTGTTTTAAAAGATAATGGGACTTTTCTTATCAGTTGACTGTCCAAATGGTAATGACTCTCATATTAAATAGATCTGGACCCCGTGCGTAAGATTCAGGTGGTTCAAATTCTAGTAGGTCTGCCTGAGGCATGGGTGACAAAGTAGTAAACATCCCAGCACATGTTGACAGCCACTTTATAGGCTCCTAATGTAACAGATGAAGCTCCACAAACTGGACAGGCTAAATTAATTTAGCATCCTGACCATGGGAACAGAATCTCTCCATTACCGTCTAATTCCCGTCTCCTATCTATATAAAGCTTTGTCTCAGAAACTCTTCAATGGGGAACCATCTGTCTTTGTGTCACTTGCAGAGTGGCAAAGTTTCTTACTTATGCAATTTATTGACACTTTATGGGTGCCTTTAGTACCTGAGTACTTATCAGTGTTCTCCAAATGCAATTCCAACTGACGGTGACTAACCACCGGCTTAGAGAAGAAAGAGAATGCTATTGTGAGAGCACTTGTGGTAAATATGAAAGCTCTACAGAAGCATACAGAAAGTATGTCTCATTTGCTTTCTAACAAATATCCATAATCCTTAATAATGTTAGATTTCCAATGTTAGGTCTGCCTTGCTATCGATTCTTCATTTTTGCCATATAACAATCGATTTAAGTGATTTAAAAATGCCAAGAAATTTTACTATTCTATTCCCCCCCTAAAATTTGGCTCTAAATATTGAAAGGAGAAAATTGTCTTAAAAATCCAGTTTTCAGTTATATCTATGGATTTATGACCTCGTTTATTGCTGGGTGTAACTTAATTAAGGGGAGTTCATATTAGTATCTCAGCTGATGCCTCCGGCCACTGGTCCTATTGCACTGGAACACCAGGCATTTAGGCTTCACTCCTCACGGACATCCGGAACATGCCCTGAACGAACTCTCAGAAACATCACATCATGTTCCACTTCTACTTGTGTGCTATTTCTTCCATCCCTTTCTCTCATATTTTGTCGTTTGGATAAGCAGGGTGGTGGTTTTATTTAGGACTACCTCTGCTCTGAACAATATGTGTACTATCCAGAGAGAGATTATGTCTGTGTCCTGCAAGACCATCCAGATTTAAATTTCTCCAACGACCCATTTCATACTCTGCTTGGCTTTCAGTTATAGTTTATATTCTACCTTTTCCCAAGGTACTGAAGCTTATGTTTTTCCCACCTATCTCTTCCCACTACACCTATCGAAACTTTACCTATCTTTACAACTTAACTCAATCACTCAATTCCCAGGCCTCTTTTAAGCATCCTTGCCCAGTCATTGCCCATGTGTATACTTTGGTATAGATGCTGGATTAAGATGACAGAAAATTAGAGCTTGGATGATGAGCTGGAGGAGGAAGGAACTGCTGCTCCTCCCTTGACCTTGAACTTGAGATGTCCAAATATGATGAACGATACTTCAGAGAGGTAGAAAACACCCATAAATGTCATGGAGGCAGGTAGGGTTAGGGGTGGTTAAGCAGAGAGGTATCGACTAAGACAGGCTTTTTATACTTGAATGTGCACATGAATCATCCGGGATCTTGTTCACTGTAGATTCTGATTCAGTAACTCTGAGGTGGGACCTGAGATATAATATTTTTAACAAAATCCCAGGTGCTTTGATGCTGCTGGTCCAGGACCTGTGCTTTGAGTAGGAAGCTCCTAGCAGAAGCTATGAGAGGGGTCTACCTCTTGTGCGGATTTCATGGTACCATGTTGTGTCATCTCACAGGCTGACCTGGGCTATGCTGAGCAGGACCAAGGGAATGGTCTGAGCCTACCCGTGGGCCATGGTAATGAGTAATGAGTGTGTGTGTGTGTGTGTGTGTGTGTGTGTGTGTGTGTTGGGCTGATTACAGAGTAATTCCTTGCAAAGAAGAGGAAGGGGCTGATCCTCCCTACGGGGAAGTTCTCTTACCTTTCTCCTACCTTGGACAACCGATGTTTGAATTTATACGTCATGGCTGCAGTATAAGTTCTTTTTCATGCAGTTTCTTCCTTCATCAGCATATGATTAGCATATAGAATTATTTACTCCAGCGAATAACTTCTGTGATTGAGCATTTGAACTCAAAGGCCATTTATTTGGTTTAGATCCTGGCTCTTTCACTTGCTAACTTTGACCTTGGAAAAATTACTTAACCTGTCCATACTTCAGTTTCTTTCTTTATAAATGGAGATACTGAAAACATCTACCACAGTAGATAATTGTGAAGGCTGAACAGCACCTGACATATAGTAATACTTAGTAACTTTTAGGTTATTTCTACTATCATTAAAAATGTTTTTTTTTTTATATACATGTGTCTGGCTTTTTAATTAAAACATAAGTTTACAGCTTTCTTAATATATCATCATTGTCTGACACGTTGCACATAGGAACTGTGATGAGCAAAAGACAACAGTGGGTGCATTTTGTTTGTAGAGATTATTGATGTGAGCTTCTGGAGAGACATGCTAGTAGATACTTTTCTCAGTTATCGTTCCCCATCTGTGCCACGTTTTTCTGTGCTTGGGGCATGGTGCCGCATATTTAAAAAGAACGGTAGAGGATTAAAGCAGCAGAGGTCTTATTATTACCAATACTGTTAGCAGGTACTTTATCATAGACATTTCAAATATCTCATTTAATCCTCACCACTACTCTCAGAAATAAAAAAAAGTAACATCATTATGTTCATTTTTCAGATGAGGAAACTGAGATATTGAGCTGTTACTATCTAGCTGATGGTAACCCAGCCGATACAAGATTCTGATGGCAGGCCCGGGTCCTACCCACCATGCCGTAGTATCAAGTAAGGCCCTTAACAATGAGCAGGACTCCTGGGCATATATAGACCACCAAGCATCTTACCGAAAAGAGTTAAAATTAGTAATAGATAATATTATTAAAATTATTTTTTTGCCAAAGAATGTATATTGGCTTCTACTGCAACATTATCTTAATTATCTTGATTTATTTGGAAAAATACAACATTTGCAGTAATCAAAGTGTATTTTAAATTACCATCTTGAATCACTTTGTATGCTTTAACATCTTAACTAAGAGAAATGAAATATAAAATTCACAATTTTAGCTTAAAAAAAGGAGAGAGAGGTAGAACAAGAATAAAAGTCTGAGTTTCTTGAATAAAAACTGCACACTTAAAATATTGCTGACCTTAAGGCTATATTATAGATTGGATGCCATTAAGATCTTCATAAATGTTTAAAGTGATAGCACTCCACTAAAATTTCCTTCCAATCTAACTTGAGAATATTTATCTTTGATATAGAATATCCTACCTATACTTATAAAATTATACAGTAAAATAAAAAGCCAGTTATCCACAAATGTTCATCTGTCATTGTTTTAAGCCTAACAATTTCATTATATGTTTATTTGGCTCTTGTGTTTTTCCACTTACTTTTTTTATGTCAATGAGAGTTAAAAGCCATGCTGGTTAAAGTTTTGCCAAATAAGCACAAAGCTAACCCTAGCTAAAGAAAAAAACAAAACAAAACATACAGCCCATGAATTTTTAAAAGTTCATACATAATATATCATAAAAGTAGACTGACTAATACAGGACATGGGCTTTAATAAAAAGCTCCTTGACCATTTCTCAGAGACTTTGAGATGTAATCAATACCCAAAAAGGTATCCTGGGGATAAGGCCAAGATTTATGATATTTTTGCCGAGAGTGACAGTTTCTGCTCACTCTATCATCTGTGAAATTCATGATATTGAATTTCATAGAACACAAGAAAGGAAAGCATTTTTATCTGTCTGACAATACTTCAAAGATACGCTCTATGCTTCACTTGTGACATCATATTTGATGGAAGGGAAATAACAACCTAAACAAGTGTTCTGAAGGCAACAGGGAACTCACGTGAATCTCAACATCAGTTTGTGACCGCGTCGGACTTCGGCTTCTTTCCACCTCTGAAAGCAGATCTCCAGATGAAAGATCTAAGATGCGTGAATGAAGTTTCTAGATAAAAGCAAGTGGAAACATTGAATAGTGATAATTTAATTGTTCGTTTTAAAATCCGGCCTTGCACAGGTAAATCTCAAAGGATTTGACACTTCTGGATTGGATAATACATATCCTAACTCAAAAAAGTTTATTCTAATTTATCAGTGTTCTACATATATGCATGTGCAAATTACAGCTTATAAACAATAATCGCACTTTCACAGTCTGTCAGTCTGTGATGGAAAATAAGCTGTAGGAAAAAAATAAGTAATAGTTGGGAAATAAGTAGCAAGAAAATTGTTACACTTATTAGCTAGTGTGAAAATTAACTTTTGATATTCACATTAAAAACAATCACCAAGTTAACCTTATTATGTTGAGAATGGTTAAAATCTGAGCAAATAATTATAAAAGTGACCTTATTTCTAAACAACATTGATCTCGTGAAATCTTCCCTTGGACACATTTTAACTCAAAGTCATTAATGTCATCTGTTAGGAACAATTAATATGAATACAAAATAATTGCATCAGGGATCTGGGGACTTGGATTTTGTGCATTAATATTCACACAACTATTTGATTATATACTCAATTCTTTATTTCAGCTTTGCTTGGGAGGCTTGCTAAACCAGGGACATTTCACTATATTAATCTTTATACTAATTACTAAAGCTTTTCCGTGCACATTAAATTTGATCTGTTTAATTGCAAATATAATAAAACTCGTGATTTATGTCTAATGTTTCTGCAAGGCTGATGACATTTTCAAATGGTACTTGCAGTCTGGTTTCTCTTGGTTACAACTTTTGTGACTTTGGATAGTAAAAACGTCGAATTGAGTAGGTAAATAATGTGGCTAAACATGCTGCCCATGCCTTTCCTCCCTGGAAAGGCCTTGCTGCCTAGTGATAATGATCTGGGAAATGTCTGAGATTCTCTGCCACTAATTAATGTTAGAACCATCGTAAAGTGTAGGAGTTGACCCACGAGTCACTTTGTTCCAGCAGACCTACCATGTTGTCAGAGGAACCGTAGACTCCATGTTTAGTCCTTGCCTACTGAAGGAGCACTGTGGTAGGACTGCACTGCATCCTTTTGTGGGAGTGGAGGCACTTTTTTTTCAGCTATGGATCAGTTCTCCTCCTTATCAGGAGCTTAAAATCACTACTTGCTACAGACCTATACTCTTGCTTCTTTGAACCCATGTTTGTGGAGTTACTTTCACTAAAAATGGCAAAAATCCTAAACCGATTGCCTGTTATTTTGAAAATTCTAATTTCTCCAATAGACATCATTAGCTAACTAGAATCAGGATGTTGTTTCTATCCAATTTTTATAATCCTTACCTCGAGATCTCTCTAGAATCTGTGTTTTTGGGGGGCAAAGATTATTTAATCCCCAGAACCTGTCACAGTGTGTAATATTTGGTTATTATCCAAGTGATGCTTATTGTAGTTTATAAAGAAAAAGATGTCTATATATTTTTCCCATCTATATATAGGTTTTAAAGTTTGGAAAAGTGCCAAAAGAATTATAACGTTCTGAGGCCTAAGAATACATTTATCAATATGCAAACAGTCCAAGAAGTTATGGGAAATGACATTCAACAACAAAAAAATAATGATTTTGAGTGGTATATCATGTGATTTTGGGGAACAGTTCTTACAGATTAGTTATCTGACTTCTCATTCAGTTCATGGTTATACTTCACTCCTTCTTACCAGATATATGATGTCATCCTTTGCTTTCTGCATGAATATGTGTCTCTATAAACCCATCCTCCTAAGTGATGTTATCTTTGAGCAGTTTTTATCCAAATGGACAGTTCCCTCTATTTACATAGGTAAGGTCACGTGGGAAAGGGGATATGTCCTAGGGCAAGGGGCCAGGTGACCTGAGTTCCAGGCCTATGTAAGGCACAGATTTTAGCAGATCTTTGGAATATAAATAGACTGCTCTATCTCAGATTCCTCACCTGAAACAGAGGGATGGAAGTGGCTATTTAGCCTACCACACAGATAGGGAGAAGTATTGCCACAAGTAGGAAGGATAATAAATAAGATAGTACGCTGAAATTCACACAGCCTTACACCAATTAATTGTCATAACTGAGAGTTCATGGTAGGCAATTTACTAAAGGCTAAGGTACAAACGAATCACTTGTTGTTATAGTTCCCATATATGTAAGGCAAATAAAAATTGACTTGGAAAAATAAAATCTACTTCCATGTTAAGGCCGCAGGCAAGAAAATGGTAGGTACATATCATTCTTTTAACAACTTCCCTTAAATAACCACAAAAGTTCACAAGCCCATAGATGTTACACTTCTTATAATAATAATTTTTATGAGAGGCTTATATTTTCACATCTATATATGTATTTAATGTTATAATAAATATATCCTCATGTAGAGTAAAAGAGAGAGAAGGAACCAGAGAGATAGTGTGAGTGCAAGAGAGCAAGCACATTGCTTTTCAAACTGGTGTTGTGATGTTATCCGTGCTTAATTGGAACCTCAGTGAAAAATAAGTAGAATGTACCTATAGAAAATACAATTAAAGCAATATCTTTTTGGATATGTCTCCTTGGGCAAGGGCAACAAAAGCAAAAATAAATAAATGGGACTACATCAAAATAAAAATCTGCACAGAGATGGAAACCATCAATAAAACAAAAAGAACCTACTAAATGGGAGAAGATATTTGCAAATGAGGTATTTGATAAGTAGTTAATATTCAACATATATAAGAAACTCATACAACTCAACATCTAAAACAACAAATAATCCAGTTAAAAATAGACAAAGGACCTGAATGGACATTTCTCCAAAAAAGACACTACACACAGTTGACCAACAGACATATGAAAAGATGCTCAAGATCATTAATCATCAGGGAAAGGCAAATCAAAACCATAATGAAATATAATCTCACACCTGTCAGATGGCTGTTACCAAAAATCAGCAAGCGTTGGCGAGGATGTGGAGAAAAGGGAACCCTTGTGTACCGTTGGTGGGCCTGTAAACTGGTGTAGCCACTATGGAAAACAGTATGGAGATTCCCCCCAAAATTAAAAATAGAACTACCATATGACTCAGCAATTCTACTTCTCGGTATTTATCTGAAGAAAACAATAACACCAATACAGAAATATATATGCGCTCCAATGTCTATTGAAGCATAATTTACAAAGCAGAATATGAAAGCAATCTAGGTGTCCATCAATAGATAAATAAAGAAAATAGTGTGTGTGTGTGTGTGTGTGTGTGTATGTGTATGTGTAATGGAATATTACTTAGCTGTAGAAAAGAATGAAATCTTGCCATTGCTGACAACATGGAGGGACCAAGAGGGTATTGTAATAAGTGAAATAAGTCAGACAGAGAAAAAATTATTACTGATTTCACTTATCCACAAAATCTAAAAAGAACTAAACAAAGAAAACAAAACAGAAACAGACTCATAGACACAGAAAACAAATTGACGGTTGCCAGAGAAGAGGAAGGTAGGGGAATGGGTGAAAAAGGTGAAGTGACATAAGAGGTACTAACTTGCAGTTATAAATTAAATAAGCCACAGGAGTGTAGTATATAGCATAGGGAATACAGTCAATAATATCGTAATAACCTTGCATGGTGACAGATGGTTACTAGACTTATGGTGATCACAAGGTATATATATGTCGAATCACTATGTTGTACATCTGAAACTAACATAATATTGCATGCAAATTATTCTTTAATGATTTTTTTGAAAAGTTATTGTCAGAAAGAGTATAACAGGCAAGAGAATGCCATGACCTCTTAAAAAGTACATCTGCTTAGCAAGAGGGAGAATTCTGCATTACATATTTATCTATAGTTTATGTTTGCTGTTAATGTTCATTTGGATAAAATCTCTCACCTGAAATAATTCAAACTTTAAATCTTTAACCTGAAAATCTTAATGAGTCCTGATTTTAGACATGGCTTTTTAAAATGTTTTACACATGAGAAGTAGCAAGATTATACAGTATAATTTTGAAATTGACCTCTCATCATCTCTTACATTATCTTAGTAACTGTGATTCCACTTGGTCTTAGAAAGAGAGACTCCTAGCCTCACACTTCCAAACCAAAGGTCAGTGAGATCCTTTCACTCAAAAGCTTCCTTTGATAACAATTTACCCCTCCCTTCTTGCCAGACAGGTTTCATCTCTGGAATGGCGCTCTCTACTTCTGAGCTGATGCTTCTGTCTCTCTTTCCGCAGCACACTCTCCCTGCTCCTGCCATCCTATCTAAAACCTACTCACTTATTCAGGACTGTACTAACACCTCACTTGTAAGGTTGTCTGTCATCTCTAGCCCACAGTCGATTTCTCACCCAGTTGGATTACAACACTCCCCTATTTGGGCCCTTTATCTGAAATGCACAATTGCTGAACTGTTCCTGTATATAGTCTATTTTCCTAACAGAGTGATCAACTCTATGAAAATGAGGTCAAGCCCTACATTTCTGTTTTCTCTCTGTGGCAGGGACTGGCTAGTTGTCATGGAACCTAGTCCTTCTTTCTGGGCACTTAGCTGGACTGCATTTCCCAGCCTCTTTTGCAGTTAGGTGTGGCCATGGGACGTGGTTAGTTCTAGCCAATGGAGTATGAGCAAAGGTGATATCTGTCCTGGCCCAAGAATATCTATGCTCTTTCCCCTTCTACCAGCTTGATGCAGCCAACTTACTATAGCAATCTCAGGAGCCATGCATTAAAGATGGAGCCACCAGGTGGAAGGGGTTTGGATTTCTGAATTACCAACTGGAAGAGTCACCTGGGGACCAAAGATATTTCTTTTGGACTTTCCATGAGGAAGAAATAAACTTACACTGGGTTTGAGCTATGATTCATTTGAGGGTGTGTTTGTCATCATGACTAATACTAACCCGGCTGATACAGCTCTCCTCTGAGATAAGCACTCAATAGCATACACGGTAGCCACACAATTGATACACACATGCACAGGTTTTCCTCGCTATCTGAA